TTGATAATGTGTACAGTGCCACTTGGCATCATTTTCATCTTGAGGTGGCATGGTGGTCAGGGAGGGTTGGGGATTGCGGGAGTGAGTAGGGAGGCTTATGGGTGGGGGTCGGGGGTTGTGGGAGGTTGGTGGGGAGGGTTGAGGTAATGGGGGTAGGGTAAGGATAAAGAGCGAGGAAGGATTGGGGAAAAGTTGCAGGAGGGAGGGAGGGGTTGGGGGTTCCAGACTGGTGAGGGCAGAGGGGACTAACCGCTCCTACTGGTTGCAAAATTTAGCCGAGGGTTATTTTAGCGAGGGTGGAGGAGAGTTGTTATGGGTGTTGGTGTAGTGTTATGGTGGGTGGCGTGTCATGGGAGAGCTGAAGGTGGGTGAGTTGTCCATGTGTTTATATACCTACCTTCAGGCACACCACATCTGCCTTCTCAGCTCTTCTCCCTCTTCCTTCTGCTGTCGTCTTTTTTTTATGTGGCTGTTGTTGCTAATGGTTTGGCCTTTGTTGCCGTAAGCGATTATTTTAGCTGCAGGTCATTTTTTTTCTCACTGCTGTTGAGGGACACGTTAAGTTCTCCAGTCTTCTAATAACATGTTCATTTTTCCACTATAATCTGTAATCAGAAGAAAGCTCGGACCTCTGCAACACAATTGTCCTCAAAGATTTGTTAAATTATACCATGTATTAAGGAAAGATCCTGGACTTCACCTTACCAGACAAAGCAAATGTGATAGTAATTATGGACAAGGTAGATTATAGTGGAAAAATGAACATGTTGCTTCCCTCTGGTTGCAGTTGCTGCTGTTTCTTGATTGCAATGCAGTTTTTTTTTTTTTAGTTTACTGGAGGGCCTTCGGCTCGCAACCAAAAGGACACGAGTTCAGTTGTCAGGTGATGGGCTAGACATGAGCAAGTCACCTCAGATTTGCTGCTCCTGTTTACTTAGCAGTAATTAGGTACTGTACGTTAGTCGAGTATTGTTGACAAATGTAAGGCTTCAATCCTAAGAAAAGAAAGTGTTCGCAATACAACTAATAGACTTGTTAGCCTCATATTAAGAGGTATAAATAATAGAAATGCAAAGGTTACCCATCAACTTTATACATCTTTGGTAAGACCTGATTATAATTAAGACACATGTGCAACAGTTGAGTAGCTTTATTGTTAAAATGTTTCGCCTACAGAACACAGAGAGTAGTCGTCAACAGAGTAAAGTCCGAGGCAGCTACGGTGAAAAGCTCTGTTCCACAAGGCACAGTACTCGCTCCCATCTTGTTCCTCATCCTCATATCCGACATAGACAAGGATGTCAGCCACAGCACCGTGTCTTACTTTGCAGATGACACCCGAATCTGCATGACAGTGTCTTCCATTGCAGACACTGCAAGGCTCCAGGCGGACATCAACCGAATCTTTCAGTGGGCTGCAGAAAACAATACGAAGTTCAACGATGAGAAATTTCAATTACTCAGATATGGTAAACACGAGGAAATTAAATCTTCATCAGAGTACAAAACAAATTCTGGCCACAAAATAGAGCGAAACACCAACGTCAAAGACCTGGGAGTGATCATGTCGGAGGATCTCACCTTCAAGGACCATAACATTGTATCAATCGCATCTGCTAGAAAAATGACAGGATGGATAATGAGAACCTTCAAAACTAGGGAGGCCAAGCCCATGATGGCACTCTTCAGGTCACTTGTTCTATCTAGGCTGGAATATTGCTGCACTAACAGCACCTTTCAAGGCAGGTGAAATTGCTGACCTAGAAAATGTACAGAGAACCTTCACGGCGCGCATAACGGAGATAAAACACCTCAGTTACTGGGAGCGCTTGAGGTTCCTAAAACTGTATTCCCTGGAACGCAGGCGGGAGAGATACATGATTATATACACCTGGAAAATCCTAGAGGGACTAGTACCGAACTTGCACACGAAAATCACTCACTACGAAATCAAAAGACTTGGCAGACGATGCAACATCCCCCAATGAAAAGCAGGGGTGTCACTAGCACGTTAAGAGACCATACAATAAGTGTCAGGGGCCCGAGACTGTTCAACTGCCTCCCAACATACATAAGGGGGATTACCAACAGACCCCTGGCAGTCTTCAAGCTGGCACTGGACAAGCACCTAAAGTCGGTTCCTGACCAGCCGGACTGTGGCTCGTACGTTGGTTTGCGTGCAGCCAGCAGCAACAGCCTGGTTGATCAGGCTCTGATCCACCAGGAGGCCTGGTCACAGACCGGGCCGCGGGGGCGTTGACCCCCGGAACTCTCTCCAGGTAAACTCCAGGTACACAATAAGCTTCTTCAGTCAAATCAAAGGTTGATGAAGTGATTACATCATCTTCATTTCACTACTACACCTGCTGCCTCTGTATTTGACTGAAGAGGCCTACTGGATAGGCGAAACGTTTTATCAATGAAGCTACCCATCTGTTGCACACGTGTCTTAATCATCAACTTGTCGGTATTTCATACCATCTTCAGCATTGGTAAGACCTCATTTAGATTACGCTGCTCGCTTCTGGTCTCCATACTTCAGAATGGGTATGAATACTCTGTAAAACATAGAAAGATGGCGAAGTTTATCCTTTACAATCGCAACCTCTCGTACGAAGATAGGCTTCAAGGCATTGTTATGATTGAAGTGCACAAATGGAAAATCGGAATAAATCTAGAGGCTATAAATAACGTCTTGCAATGCCTAACCAAGATAGAGAGGATATAGGGAAGTAGCTTGGCAGTAGAGTTGTAGATAAGTTCAACGACTTTCCAGGGCAAGAACTTTCGGTAGTTTTAAATATAGGTTGGACGAGTTTTTGAGTGGGTGTGAGTTAGATCTCCCTAGCATGGGCTAGTAGGTCTGCTGAAATGTTCATTATTTTTTGCTCTTATATATTAGACGTTTCGCTCACTAGAACTGAGGCACTACCCTTGGGTGAAAGTTGTAGTAAGTACCTTAAGTGACTCACTTATATTTATGTCAGTGTTTTTGTATTTGCCTAGTGGGAGCGAGTTTAGAGGTGGTGCAGTAATGTAGGTGAGAGTGGCGCCAGGCCAGCTGGCGTGTTCGCTGTCACCTCAAGCAAGAGATTCCTTCATAAACTTTCACACATAATGTACCCTGTCCCAGCATCACTAGTGCCCAGCTTTTTTTTTTTTAATTGGAGAAGTGCCCAGTTACTATTCAAACAGGGGAGTCTTAATACAAGGAATTGGAACCTACCTGGAAGGTGTCCCGGGGGTCAGCGCCCCAGCGGCGTTGCTGCTACATCATTGTGGCATGCACGCGAGCTGTCGTAAAGGTGCCCCGTGGCTGTCAAACTCTGACCTGATGACTGAAGGTAATCTTGTGTGGGTGACACGGGAGGAGCCTGGGAGTGTGGTTGCGGCTGGGGTGACCTTGAGCCGGCTATGGAGCCAACCAGGGTTGTGCAGTAATTGGAGATTATGTGCTCGTCCTAGCCGGTTGCTCGCTCAGGCGCATAATGTAATACTCAGTGACAGTATCCTCCACCGGGGTTATACCATCTTCTGTATACTCCTCAATATGAATATTGACGCGAATTACCCCACTTCTTTTTCCTCGCCACACTCATCATCAAAAAAAAAAAAGCCATCTTGTACAAATGGAATTGTCGCGTACACATATTCTTTATATATATATATATATATATATATATATATATATATATATATATATATATATATATATATATATATATATATATATATATATATATATATATATACACACACACACACGCATACACACACACGCATACACACACACACACACACACACGCACACACACACACACACACACACACACACACACACACACACACACACACACACACACACACACACAAAATTTAAACCCAAGATACGTCGTAAAAAACGACTATCAGTGGATAAACAGAAGAAAGGATGGGGATGGGAACTGTGGTCCGTGCGTTTAGCAGGCCCACTGTTGTAACCACTCAGCCACAGACCTTACAATACTGATTTTATACACAACCCACACATAGAAGCTTACAACGACGTTTCCGTCCGACTTAGACTATTTACAAAGTGTCACAGACACGAGAGCCAGTATATATAGGCGAGCTGGAAAGGGACGGGACCAAGAGAGGAAGAAAAAGAAGTAATGGTAGTGGAAGTAGTAGTAGTAATGGTAGAAAGTAGGGAGAGTAGTTTTAGTGGAACAAGAGATAGAAAGGGAAGTGAAGGGTGAAAGGAGGCAAAAGTAATGGTAGTGATTTTGCAGTACCAGCGGCACCAATTGTCACTCTACTGTCTCGTGCCACAGTCCCAGATCTCGTGGTGGATGTATTCTCATACCCCCACAAAACATATAGTCCATAATTCCAAGATAATTCATAATAACGTGGTTTTTGAAGGGCGGGAGAATAAATGCACTATGAAAATTTGGGGGGGGGGGCTGTGGGATGAAACAGGTTAGTAGGGTCACAGTTGGTGCTGTTGATACAACCAAACCTTAGAAGTGCTGGTTGCAAAATCATCCTTTTGTAAGGTCTATGGCTGAGTGGTTACAACATTGGGCCTGCTGAATGCAGGGACTACGGTTCAAATTCTCTTCCATTATTCTGTTTATTCGTGCGGGTGGATTTTTTCGCCCTTGTTTGCTGTAGGGCAACTTTGAAAATATGCAAGTATATGAGTGAGAATGGATGGAATAATAGAACCTATCTAGCTTAGACCAGTAAGTGTTCTATATCCACCACTCCTTTAGTGCCGTTTATTATCCTTTTTGATTATTGTGCCTGCTGTAGAACAATACTGTGACCCATACCGTGTAATCCCTTGTTTTATGTGATGTGGATACCCAGCACTGGCGGGCCAGCGGTTGGTTGCTTCATCACTGGAGTCGTTCATCATATGACTAAGACGTGCGTCAGGAAACAGTTGACTGTCAATGAAAATGATACTATCATCGCCTATGTGGCGTTGCTACATGTATTGTTCTTTCTTTCAGTGTATCTATGTTATGTAGTGAGAAAACAAATGTGATACTTGAACCTCTTGGTGCTGTAGTGGAACTTCCAATACATAGGTGTTATTGTGTGTTGTCTAGAAGATAGTGAAGTTGTGTAGGTGAAACATTATTAGTGGCCATCACAACTTGTCTGGCTCCATAATAAATTTGTATATTTTGTCACAAGGAAAGTACAAGAAAGTTTTGTGATATCTACATTTGGTGATTTAAGTATATAGTGACTTGTTACAGCAAATTATATATATATTGATGTGTGAGTGGAGCGTTGGTGTCGTGTTTACTCGGGATGATGATTGCTGTTGCCTTCCTGACCTGAGGTCACCACACCCATGAGGTGCTTTCCGAGACCAGATGTGTGACCTGACCTTCCTCAGGTCACCCCACTACACTAGAAGATACCTACACCATCGAACATGTCGCATCAACAGAGGACAGGTAAGTGAAGGTTCTCGTGAAGTATCATTTGTGGACTGAGCAGTCAGTTCGCAAGTTCCTCTCTATAGTGCTATTTTATGTAAGTGAAGTTGAAAAAGTGCATAATAAGTTTAACAGCACATGGAAAAACATAGTTTGTGCTGGTCGGTTTTGGATGCAATTTTTCAATTACACTCTTAAAGCAGCGCATTGTATAGAATAACTTTGTGGAAGCTGGTTCAGGTGAATCATGTTTAGTAAAGGTTAAACCTATATTTGAACTGACTTAGTGGTGTGTAGCTCACATGAAATATGGTGTGTGAATAGTAACACTGGCAGAGAGAGAGAGAGAGAGAGAGAGAGAGAGAGAGAGCAAGCACAGGTAAGTGTCTTGATACTCCTTAATGTTACAAATGATAAACTGTGATCACCTAAGGAGGAGAAGACCCATTTTTTATATACTAACAATAATCTAAAAAGGTCTTATTAATATTGACTAATGAGTGTATGTAAAACTAGAGTACAGTTAAAAGCGGCTCCTGAGTGACGGCCTGATCACCAAGACTGTTAGAGCTTGCAGTTTGACGAAGGCACAGGAGTCTAAATGGCCAGGGATGCTATACAGGAATTTCTCAAATTCATAATTGCCCCTATATGAAGGGACTGTGTGGATAAACAGATGAATCTTGTGTTTACTGAGTTATCTCTTAGAGTACTTGCTCCACACCTGATTCTTTACACATTATTTTGCAGTCTATCATGTCTCTCCTCCTATTAATGAGATAATTGAAAGAAGAATTAAAATTTTAAATACTGTCGCTGGAACATTCCATAAATCACACTTTGGAGGGGAGACTGCAACGTTTCGGTCTGTCGTGGACCACTATTAAGTAACTAGGCGAGATTATGAGAAAATCAAATGACTGGTTAGATAAAGATGTAAAAAAAATAGTGCAGGCAGGTATTAGTTGTGTTGTGTGATTAACGTAAGATCAGTAGTGTAGTAATTGTAAGATCAGTAGTGTAGTAATTGTAAGATCAGTAGTGTAGTAAGTGTAAGATCAGTAGTGTAGTAAGTGTAAGATCAGTAGTGTAGTAAGTGTAAGAACAGTAGTGTAGTAAGTGTAAGATCAGTAGTGTAAGATCAGTAGTGTAGTAAGTGTAAGAACAGTAGTGTAGTAAGTGTAAGATCAGTAGTGTAGTAAGTGTAAGATCAGTAGTGTAGTAAGTGTAAGAACAGTAGTGTAGTAAGTGTAAGATCAGTAGTGTAGTAATTGTAAGATCAGTAGTGTAGTAAGTGTAAGATCAGTAGTGTAGTAAGTGTAAGATCAGTAGTGTAGTAAGTGTAAGATCAGTAGTGTAGTAAGTGTAAGAACAGTAGTGTAGTAAGTGTAAGATCAGTAGTGTAGTAAGTGTAAGATCAGTAGTGTAGTAAGTGTAAGATCACTAGTGTAGTAAGTGTAAGATCAGTAGTGTAGTAATTGTAAGATCAGTAGTGTAGTAAGTGTAAGATCAGTAGTGTAGTAAGTGTAAGATCAGTAGTGTAGTAAGTGTAAGATCAGTAGTGTAGTAAGTGTAAGATCAGTAGTGTAGTAAGTGTAAGATCAGTAGTGTAGTAAGTGTAAGATCAGTAGTGTAGCAAGTGTAAGATCAGTAGTGTAGTAAGTGTATGAACAGTAGTGTAGTAAGTGTAAGATCAGTAGTGTAGTAAGTGTAAGATCAGTAGTGTAGTAAGTGTAAGATCAGTAGTGTAGTAAGTGTAAGATCAGTAGTGTAGTAAGTGTAAGATCAGTAGTGTAGTAAGTGTAAGATCAGTAGTGTAGCAAGTGTAAGATCAGTAGTGTAGCAAGTGTAAGATCAGTAGTGTAGTAAGTGTAAGATCAGTAGTGTAGTAAGTGTAAGATCAGTAGTGTAGTAAGTGTAAGATCAGTAGTGTAGTAAGTGTAAGATCAGTAGTGTAGTAAGTGTAAGATCAGTAGTGTAGTAAGTGTAAGAACAGTAGTGTAGTAAGTGTAAGATCAGTAGTGTAGTAAGTGTAAGATCACTAGTGTAGTAAGTGTAAGATCAGTAGTGTAGTAATTGTAAGATCAGTAGTGTAGCAAGTGTAAGATCAGTAGTGTAGCAAGTGTAAGATCAGTAGTGTAGTAAGTGTAAGATCAGTAGTGTAGTAAGTGTAAGATCAGTAGTGTAGTAAGTGTAAGATCAGTAGTGTAGTAAGTGTAAGAACAGTAGTGTAGTAAGTGTAAGATCAGTAGTGTAGTAAGTGTAAGATCACTAGTGTAGTAAGTGTAAGATCAGTAGTGTAGTAATTGTAAGATCAGTAGTGTAGCAAGTGTAAGATCAGTAGTGTAGCAAGTGTAAGATCAGTAGTGTAGTAAGTGTAAGATCAGTAGTGTAGTAAGTGTAAGATCAGTAGTGTAGTAAGTGTAAGATCAGTAGTGTAGTAAGTGTAAGATCAGTAGTGTAGTAAGTGTAACATCAGTTACATGTCAAGGTGATGGAGATTCTTTGATGTACAAATTTGTTACCAGAACGTCTAGTATTACCCAGGTGTAAATTATGATTACCTAAGTGTTCTTCGAGGCAGGTTTACTCTACAACGAATTATGTAAATTCTTGTCTGTCTGGACTAATATTTTTAATCATTTCATGTTTGATTCAGTGATTCCGCTTGATAGTTTATTCCCTCTTAACTTTCAGTGCTCACATATCTTCGTAAAATGAAAGTTAATATTGTTATTGTCCTGTCTGTCTCCTTATATTACAATTTAGAATTTGTTTTAGTGGGGGGGGGGGTATTAACCTTAGTTGTGGAGGTCTGATGAATAAGAGGATCAACATCTATTGTTTCACTTAAGTGCTCACTTTACCCTCAGATTTAAGTCTATCAGTTTGTACATTTTAAAAAGTTATTTTTCAGAATACGTCATAAACGCACAAAACTAATAATTTCTAAATTGTTACAGCACATATTTTACTTCGCCTGATATACGAATACCTCTTAATATACAAATTATTTAATATTTTCTTAAATTTAAACCAAGAAAAGGTAATTTAAGTAACATTCTGCGCAACTTTGTTTTACATCGGTTCCTTAACGATTGATTTTTGGCCGCTGTTGAGTATAATTGTTGGTAGTTATTGATTCGTTGTGTTTTTCCTTTGTCATTTATGCTTTCATATGTGTGATATAGAGGTATTATATGTTGATTAAGCTAATTATTGTATTTATGCACACTATAATGAGACAAAAGCTAATTACTAGGCTAGCTAGATGTTATGCATAAAATTATTATTATTATTATTATTATTATTACTATTATTACTATTATTATTATTATTATTACTATTATTATTATTCGAGATGAGTTATTAGAATTCTTTATTTCCATATGATGCATCTTTTGAAGAAAAATGGATAGTTAATGCTACACATGAAAAGCCTCTTGGTTATGCACAGCATTTCAAATGATGCCAGGAAAATATCCGCCAGTGCAATTAAAATCATGCGCTTGAAGAATCATGGAAGCTGTGACTCAAGGTTTGTTCAGGCAGTGAGGAAACAACAAGTTATGTCAATAACGACGACTGTGAGATGTGGTGCTCAGGTGCACAGCAGAATGCATTAACCGGAGGGGAAACAAGTGGAGTAATGGAGTGCGCAACCACTCCATTACTGACTCGCTGCAGCAGAATCCCACACTTTTTACACTTCACCGAATTTATGGGAGAAATGTCACAGTCGTTAAGGTGCTTTCACGACTCTTGTCTTTAGAGAATTAAGAAGAACGTTTCGAGCCCTCTTAGACTTGGTAATGGTTCACGGCGGACACAAACTCCTCTCTAATGTTCAGTATCCAAACTGTGGACCACTTGTGAATTATTCCAGTCATCCTCTGGCATTATAAACGAAACTGGAAACAGACCAGAACTCCAGGCTGATACCTGGCCAGTCAGGCTGTTGGTGGTAGCAGCACAACGAAGGCACTACAACCCCGCTGATCAGGAACTGGCTCGATCTTAAGAGGCACGTAACTGCCTCTTAAGTGTAACATAATTTTTCCACTATAATCTACCATATCCATAATTACTATCACATTTACTTTGTCTGTTTCGTAAGGTGAAGTCCAGGATCTTTACTTAATTCATGGTATAACTTAACAAATCTTTGAGGATAATTGTGTTGTAGGGATCTCAGCTTTGAAAAGATCCTGGACTTCACCTTATGAAACAATGCAAATACGATAGTAATTATGGACAAGATAGATTATAGTGGAAAAATGATGTTACACTTAAGAGGCAGTTACGTGCCTCTTAAGATCGAGCCAGTTCCTGATTAGCGGGGTTGTAGTGCCTTCGTTGTGCTGCTAGCACCAACAGCCTGACTGCTTTCAAGAGAGAGCTGGACAGATACCTAAAGTCAGTGCCGGATCAGCCGGGCTGTGGCTCGTACGTTGGACTGCGTGCGGCCAGCAGTAACAGCCAAGTTGATCAGGCCCTGATCCATCAGGAGGCCTAGTCATGGACCGGGCCGCGGGGGCGTTGATCCCCGGAATAACCTCCAGGTAACCTCCAGGTAACCAGGTAGATTATAGTGAAAAAATGAGCATATGACTGCAAGACAAGGAGTACCGACGTGCCCTTAAGTTTCCCTCTTGAATACAGGATCTGTTAGTAATTTTCCTTATATAAAGAGCGTGAAAAGTCTTGATCTCTTTACACTCCATGATTTGTCTCTGGGTTTCTATTTTAGACTGGAAATATGGCAAAAAATTATCTCTAGTGGAAAACTGGTGCCTGATTGTTATTAAACGAGTAAAAATGGTAAAATATTGCAGAATACCAAAGTTTTTTTCAGTGTACTTGTACGTGTGCTTTTGATAAATTAGACACTTGTGCAACATTTGGGAATCTTTATTCTGGAAACGTTTCGCCACTCAGTGGATTCTTCAGTCCAGTGCAAAGAAAGGTGGAAGATAAGAAGTTTGAGGTAATCAGTCCCTCAGCTGAGAGTCTGTGTT